GGCCGGGACCGGCGCGCGGGGATGCAGCGTGAGGACGTCCGGTCTGGACCTGCAGGACAGCGAGCTCCCGGAGGAGGTGCGGGCGGGGCGGCTCTGAAGCCAGGGTCGAACGCGGTCTTGCGGCCAGCTCGGCCTCACGGGGCTTCGCTTCTACGCGGAGGCCGCGTCTGATCTCGGCGGACGCGTGGCGTTTCCCTTCTGATTTCCTTATAAAAAATGCCTAACCTTTTGGCTAGTTTCCTTAGTACTCGGCAGTTTGTTTTTGGAGGGTTCGTTTGGGATTTTTGTTTTTTTGTTTTTTGTTTGTTTTGTTTTGTTTTTGGTACTAGGGATTGAACTCATTACCCTGTGCTTAAAAAAGGCAGGCGCGGCACCACTGAGCTAAATCCCAGGCAGTTTTATTCTCTTGTGTAAATTTATACGATTTTCATTTGCTTGGGGGAAGGATAAGAGTGGATTGGAAGATGTAATACCGGGCCCCTAGCCCCCAATACTGTGAAAAAAAGAGAAAATTTCTTCTTTTTAGGAAAGAGCACCTTTTGCTCTTCTCAAAAGATGTGAGGTTGAGTATTTTTAGTATTATTTTCTAGCGTACATTTTTCAATTTTTTAACAGTGCTATCACCTTGGATCCTCGGCCATTGGTTGTGCAGGGCAAGTGCTGTACCACTGAACGTCATCCCCAGCCTGTGAATTCTTATTTCAAAGAAGATGAAATCTCTAAAAGGAAAGGTATACCTCTCAAAATTCTGGTATATTAAGGGGGGCTGGTTTCAAAACTTAATGTATAGTCTGTTCTGAGTAGTATCACCCATTGTTAGAAAGGAAGCAAAAATAACGATGCCACTTGTAATTTTAGTAACGTTAAAATCTTCTTACTTTATATTTTGCAGTTTATGCTTCCTAGTGGGTTGTGTTAGGTTGGTTTGGGTCTTGTTTTTGTTTTTGAGACAGGGTGTCTCTATAGTCCAGACTGGCCTTGAACTCCAGTCTAGACTGGCCTGAACTGGATCAATCCCCTTGCCTCACTCTCCAAATTCTGGAATTGCAGGAGTGCAACATTATGCCCAGCCCTCTTAATGTTTTAAAGACTATTTTAGAACAATTTGCAGAGAAGTTGAATTTTTAAATTAAATGTTATCAAAAGCAAAACGTAGTTTAAAAATGTTCTAGTCATGTTAACAAATAGCAGGCACACTTTTTTTTGCCACCATCAGATTTGTCTTTTTCAAATTAAATATCATAAACACATATTAACAGCCAGACTGTTATATGTGAGATCCATCTCATAGTCCCCTTCCACCCATCCTTTATTATTCTCTTTGTTTATACTTTGCCTCACTCAAATGAACCATACCATATGGTACTTAAGCTTGTGTGTCTGGTTTATTTCACTCAACGTTGTATTTTCCAGATGCATCATTTTTTTACAAATGTCTCAAATCTATCATTCTTTGTAGCAGATTAGTATTCCGTAACATGTAGATACCACATCATCTTTATCCAGTCATCTGTTGATGGGTAAACAGAGGTTGTTGCCAAGATTTAGCTATTGTGAATTGTGCTACTGTAAGCATTGATACACATGTATCACTGTAATGTGATGCCTGAAGCACTTTGGGGAAGATTCCTAGGAGGGAATACCTAAATCATAGAATTTTTAATTTCAGTTATTTGACAAATCTCCACTGATTTCCGTAATGGTTGTACTACTTTACATTCTTACCAACAATGAAGAAGGGTTCCATTTTCACCACAGCTTCACCAGTGTTTGTTATTCTTTCATTTCTTTTTTTTTTTTTTT